TAAGCATTAATGTAGAAAAGTGATCACTTCAGAGTTTGTGAAAATTTCCGAGGGACAGAATCGATGACCGTGGGTGTACATGCGTGGCAGTATGATGAGCCCCCCTTGCGGGAGGCAGGGCATACAAACTCTTTACATTTTAATGAGAACAGAAGTTCCCGTAGTTCTAGTATCGGGGACACAGTCCCAGGCGGCAGCACCATCGCCTCTTTCCCGTCTCCTCTCTGATCTCCTTGTCTCCAGCAAGAGCGTATGAAAGCGTACAAAATTGTAACAAAATGGAAACCAATAGCTACCCGAGAAAAGTTCCACATATAATTATATATAATTATATGCAAAATATGTTTATATATATCCATATATGTTTCTTTCCTTTCTAAAATTATTCTTTAATACAAAAAATGATAATAATAAGATGAAAACATAAAAAATAATTTAAAAAATAATTTTACATTGTTTTTTTTACAAAAAATCAAATTTGAAGAAGTGAGAAAAATTGCTCATATACAGGGTGACTCAAAACAACCTCGCGACCTTGTAAAGACGTATTCTTGACTCAATTCTAAGACGATTTTTCCTATACAAAAATTTTGTCTAAAGCTTAGTTTTTAAATTATAACAAGAAATAGTTAGCAAATTACGGGCGTATGAAAAATAGTCAGGGGCGGCGCAACTTACTGTCGGACGCAGGCGGTACGCGACGATCGGCTGACTGCTACACGCGCGTATACACAAGATATTTTAAAGACATGCGATTACATTCTCTTTTGCTCACATACACACACACACACACGCACACGCGCACACGCGCGCTCCACGCGCACACGCGCACGCACACGCACACGCACACGCACACGCACACGCACACACACACACACAATTACCTTGTAAAGTTTCGATGACTCCTGTAACTTCGTGAGAAAGACGGGATTTCCATTTCGATGGACCACGTAAGCTCCAAATAAACGTTTATTTTAATAAATTTTCGTTAGTTTCAATGCAGACTTTATTACTGACTGACACAGATTATTATTTAGTTAATTCTTTATTTTATATAATGTGTCATTTTAACATTTCACACTCGATTCACATATTCGATTCACATACAAACAATTCATTGAAAGAAATCACGAGAAATCTACTAATGCATTTATCCGTTACTTTACAATCATTGTCGATTAATTATCCGTCCAAAAACATCACACGAAGAAACACACGGCAATTTATTAATACACGATCCGTTCACTCGAGGATAGCAAGCAGTCGACTAATTTTAATATCGAATTTATTAGTTAATTATTATCAATCCGTATCGATTAATTATTCGTCGACTAAAAAAATCACTCGAAAAAATTAACACACGACGCATGCACTCGATGATAGTAAGCAGTCGACTTTAATATCGAATTTATGATTATCAATCCGTGTATATTCGTATCTATTAATTATTCATCGACTGAAAAATCACTCGAAGAAAGAAACACGCGACAATTTACTAACACACGACGATTTACTGACATACGAGACGTTTACTCGACGATAGCAAGCGATGCGCTTCTGATTGTGATTTCAACTAATCGCATGTTCGCGTTTCGACAGCGCTGCAAACATAATCAATGAAATCAGTCGATTGCATGTTATCGTCGAGTGAACGCCTCATGTGTCAGTGAATCGTGTGATAATAAATAGTGCGCGTGTGTTTTTCCTCAAGTGAGTTTTCAATCGACGAATAATTAATCGACATTGGTTGATAATTATTAACTAATACCTTCGGTATTAAAGTCAATCGACTGCTTGCTATTGTCGAGTGAATGCCTCGTGTGTCAGTAAATCGTCGTGTGTTTTTTTTTTCGTGTGATTTTTCAGTGAACGGATAATTAATCGACAGTGAGTGTAAAGTACGTAACAGATATTAATTAGTAGATACATTAGTAGATTTCTCGTGATTTCTTTAAGTAAATAGTTTGTATATAAATGGAGTGTGAAATGTTGAAATGACACGGTTTGTAAAAAAAAAGAATTAATAAATTATTTGATCTGTGTCAGTCAGTGATAACTTGTAACGTTTGCATTAAAATTACCGAAAATTTATTAAAATAAACACTCTTTATTATACGTGGAAATCACATCGAAATGGGAATTCATCCATCTTTTTCGAGAAGCTACAGAAGTCGACAAATCTTTAAAAGGTAAGGTTCGTGTGTGTGTGCGTGTGCGCGTGTGTGTGTGTGTGTGCGCGCGCGCGCGCGTGTGTGAAAAAGAGAGAGAGGGAGAATGTAAACGCATGTTTGCGCGTGTGTAGTCAGCTGACGATCCCGCCTGCCGTCGGACAATAAGTTGCGCCGCCCCTGTCTACCTTCCGTACGCGGCCCGTAATTCGCTAACTATTTTTCGTTATAATTAGAAAACTAAGTTTCGGACAAAAATTTTATAAAGGAAAAATCGTCTTAGAATTGAGTCAAAAATACGTCTTTACAAAGACACCGGGGTTGTTTTGAATCACCCTGTATGTCTATGATGAAAAGCCACATTGAAAACGATTAAAAGTGACTTATTATTATTTCGTGTTCTACCTAAGACGTCGCGTGTATATAATTTCAATATGGCATCCAGCCCTCACTCTTGTGACCTATTTTAGTTCACTCTTCCGGGGGTACAGTCCCAGGCGGCGCTGAAAATGTCTTTTCCATTAATACAAGGAAGTTTGTATCCCCTGACGGGAGGGCTCCACCAGAGAGGATCCTGAGAGCGACCATGCCCGCGATTTAACTGCGAACGGCGATAAGCTGGTTTCAACGCCTCTGGAAAGTGGATGTTGAACTACTAACTAGAGAGACCAATAAGAAGCACGCGTTGGACGGAAAGCGTGCTTCTCATGGGTCTCTCTAGTTAGTAGTTCAATATCCATTTTCCAGAGGTGCTGAAACCAGCTCATTGCCGGTCGCAGCTAAATCGCGGGCCGCTCTCAGGATCCTTTTGGCTCCGCATAAAGTCCTAGAAAACAGAGATATGACATTAAAGGGTATGGTCTGATTGACTGTCTAAATTATATGATCAAAGCGCCATTTTAATTCACTATTGCACCTAATGCATCAAGCTTTGAAAAGTATGTACATATAAATTATATAGAGAAAAATTAAGACAATACAAAGTGTTAAAGTGCAATAAAAAGCTATTATTATGGTGTATTTTCTTTTTGCGTCAATTGTCATCAGCTTCTAAGGTTAGGAGTATTTATACTGAATTAAAATGACGGTGATTACTAACCCAACCGACGCAATGATGCATCTCTGTTTTCTAGGACTCTAGCTCCACCTCGTTTCAAACTAACCCAAACCATTTTCGAAGGCATTATGCAAAAAGACTGCGACATATATATATATACAGTCACCAAACTAATTGACCGGACACTGCGTTAATATATCGATAATTTCTAAAAATTCAAGATAGAGCAACTTTGTCAAAAATTATCATAACATAACGATCGAAAAAGCATTTCACAGCTTAAAGTCTCTACTTTTGAAATCCATAATTCATTAAATGACTTACTGATTCTTTACAAAGCTGCACGGATGCAAATGGAGATGCATCAAATCTAAAAATTTTTTACCAAGTTTGCGAAGTTCCAAAAAGTAAAATAAAAATCGCGCGCAAATGAAGTTGACATCATTCGAAAGCGTGAATCTTTAGCTTTAATTTGAGTACTCGATCAGCATTGTGCGATTTTTTTCACCGAG